CCATTTATCAATTTTTGATCTCAATGTCTGTGCTACTGGTTTAATGTTCAGGAAGTGGTCTCCTGTACCAATTCATTCTAGGGTACCTCCTACTTTCTCTAAGAGGTTCAGTGTGGCTGGATTTGTGTTAAGGTCTTTGATCCACTTGAGCTTCAGTTTTGTGCATGGCGATAGATATGGATCTATGTGCAGTCTTCTACATGCCAGCATCCAGCTATGCCAGCACCAGTTGTTAAAGATGCTTTCTTTTTACCATTGTATAATTTTAGCTTCTTTGTCAAAAATCAGGTGTTCAAAGGTATGTGGGTCCATATCAGAGTTTTCAATTCTATTCCATTGGTCTACCTATTTTTGTACCAATACCAAGCTGTTTTCAGGACTATAGCTCTGTAATAGAGCTTGAAGTCAGGGATGGTGATGCCTCTGGAAGTTCTTTATTGTACAGGGTTGTTTTGGCTATCCTGGGTCTTTTGTTTTTCCATATAAAGTTGAGTATTGTTCTTTCAAGGTCTGTGAAGAATTGCTCTGGTATTTTGATGGGGGATTGCATTGAATCTGTGGATTGCTTTTTTGCAAGATTGCCATTTTTACTATGTTGGCTTTACCTATCCAAGAGCATGGGAGATCTTTCCATTTTCTGGTATCTTCTTTGGTTTCTTTCTTTAAAGACTCAAAGTTCTTGCTATACAGGTCTTTCACTTGTTTGGTTAGCATTGCTGCAAGGTATTTTATGTTCTTTGTGGCAATTGTAAATGGTGATGTTTCTCTGATTTCTTTCTCAGCCCATTTATTGTCTGTATATAGTAGGGCTACTGATTTTGGCTGGTTAATCTTGTATCCTGCCACTTTGCTGAAGGTGTTTATCAGCTGTAGGAGTTCTCTGGTACAATTTTTCAGGTCACTTACGTAAACTATCATATCATCTGCAAATATTGAACCTCTGACTTCTTCTTTTCCAATTTGTATCCCCTTGATCTCCTTTTTGTCGTCTTATTGCTCTAGCTAGAACTTCAAGTACAATATTGAAGAAGTATGGAGAGAGTGGACAGCCCTGTTTTGTTCCTGATTTTAGAGGAATCGAGTTGAGTTTCTCTCCGTTTAGTTTGATGTTGGCTGCTGGTTTGCTGTATATTGTTTTTTATTATGTTTAGGTATGCTCTTGTTATCCCTGATCTCCCCAAGACCTTTATCATGAAGGGGTGTTGGGTTTTGTCAAAGGCTTTTTCAGCATCTAGTGAGATGATCATGTGACTTTTCTTTTTCAGTTTGTTTATATGGTGGATTACATTGATGGATTTTCGTATGTTGAACCATCCCTTCATCCCTGAGATGAAGCCTACTTGATCATGGTAGATGGTTTTTCTGATGTGTTCTTGGATTCGATTTGCCAGTATTTTATTGAGTATTTTTGCATCAATGTTTATGAGGGATATTGGTCTTTGGTTTTCTTTCTTAGTTGTGTCTTTGTGTGTCTTAGGTACGAAGGTTATTGAAGCCTCATAAAAGGACTCTGGCAACAACCCTTCTGCTTCTATTGTGTGGAATACTTTGAGGAGAATTGGTATTAGCTGTTCTTTGAATTCCCGTTAGTCCTTATACTTCTTAGATGTGGCAGATTGACTTTTTTGTCATAGCCTCCTCTTTTCAAAGATAAGTCTTTTGAAATAACTTTTTTTTTCTAAAAAAAATAAGGATCCATAATCTATTTATCAAATAGATTCTTCTATTTGATAGAAGTCTTCTCCCATAACCTTGTTTTATTATTTATCTTCTAGAATCATCTGAGTCTATTAAACAAGACAGTGTTTCATGGAATGGCAGGGTACCTAACCTAACAGTGTATACAGTCTTCAAAAAGGTGTGTGTGTGTGTGTGTGTGTGTGTGTGTGTGTGTGTACACGTGCGCATGCGATGGAGCATATTTTCCCCCATTCATATGGAAAGTCTATTCTTTACTGTGTTATAGATTCATGCTGGGTCTTCCTTTACTTCTCTCGTTGATGTATACATTTCTGTTTATGACTTAATCTGCCATTGGCTTTTTCTACAGCCTCATAGTATATAAATCCAAATAATCTGATCCATTTAGTTTCATCATGATACATGATTTCTGGCCATTACTACTTATGTTTCCCAATAGGACTTAAATCCTAGTAGAGTTTTACATCCAAAAATATTTCCTTTTTCAATGCAGACATTCTTTCTCCAGTTACAGTTTTCAGTTATGGCAAGATTTCTTTTTTAGGCATCAATATTCAAAATTCTGTAGTTATAGTTTGCTGTCTTAAGTTGATGGTTATTTTGGGTGAGAATGAATATGAAACAGTAGTAGCTTTGATAGTCTTCTTCAAAGTTGTTTGGTGTTTTTACAGTGACTATTATTTTTATAAACCAAAATAAACTTATTTCCATTAAAAAAATCAAATACTTGATACAGTTGTTCTTTCAATTTTATTTTGACAAAACAGTAGAACATTAGCTATATTTATAGAAATATTAGTATACTGTAATATATCATAATTTTGTCAGGATGTAACAATATAAAATCAATATATTTTAAATAAATCTAACTTGGTTATAGAGAAAATATTAAATTAAGTTTAATGGTAGTAAGTTACATTTGAATTATAGAAAACCTTTGTAAAATTAGCAATACAATTCAAATTTAAACATTTTTAATACCTTTATAAATAAATTAATAATGT